TTAAGCCAACATCTTAAAAAAGCATTAAGTTTACAATTAGGCTCTACAAATTGCGAACGGCACAAATGTGTGCGCAGAAAAAACGCTACCGAAGGTGTCTGGCATGGTTTTTTTTGTTCTTAAAAGCGTGAGGAGATTCTCTAGGCATCCAAACTGAATGCAGGAGCTCATGTAGTACGTAACGGCAGTAAGTTCTTCAGACCCAGTAGGATTAGGGCCGGATCCGTTTGTAACCCTGAAACGGCTGCTGCTAAAGCGGAAAATTGATAAAAAGTCAAGTTTAAGATTTTTTTTTTTGGTCTTTTAGAGGTTAAAAGTATTTAATCGTAATAGTAATTTAGAGGTCAACTGTGATTGGCTTATTCTTTAACATGATGGTTTAGAACCAAAATGTACGATGTGAGTTATTGTAAATAACATTTGTAAATTGATGTTTTATCGTCATGTAGATTAGCTTATTGCAAAAATTCCTGACGATGCACAAAGTTGCGAAAACTTATGAAGTTTACTTTTTAGCAAAAATTTCGATAAGTTTAAAGTTTTAGTAGATGATGGGTTCCTTTTTCAACCGCTTTCTTTTGCGATTTAGGGCGCGGCTCGCCCCACCACGAGAATTGTTTTTAGAATGCTTTGTAAGAACCTAAGAATATGTACGTGGGAACCCAGTTCCGGCTGCTTTTAAAAAAGAATCTCCCTGGCAATACATATTGCGAACACTGCGTGCGTACTCGACACAAAAAACTACAAAACAAATTATGGTGAGTATTTTTATTTTAAATACATATTGTATTGTTGTCTTGTTTCGAGTTACATACTCTCATCATTACGAGTCCAAACTATGCACTGCATTTTCGCTCAATTTTGTGTCTGTATGTTTCTGGATTCCAGCGACAAGTCCTTCAACATAATAAAAAGTTGTCAGAACGATCAAAGAGAATGAAAGAACAAAAGGAGCGTCCGTGTTGCGAAATCCGCTTACAATTCACGAAATACTTAGTTTGGCCTCGTACTGATTGAGGAAATGTAACACCCGTATCCAGTTTTTATTTTCAACGCATCATCTCTTTTCATCTTTTTATCATAACCATTTTCATATCTAGAAACTTCCTAGGATTCTGACCGGAATATGTGATGAGGGGTTTCCTGACTGTAACCTCGGTTACTATAATACTTTTGACATTCTGATTATGACGATGTTCGAATCATGTTCAAAAAGAATTGGCAATCATGTTGGAACCAAAAAGTCAAAATACAAAGGAAAGTTGAATTTTCTATCTTTTACTCACCACATACCATTTTTGTTCATATATATCAATTTAAAACTCCGGTATATTTTTTGCAGGATTTATTTTTTTCTCAATCTGGCTGGCTGGATTCCCAACCATCTGACTCTTTTTAATATTTGTTCGCGTTATACTTAATGTTATACTCCAGTCGTGCTATACTTTCATATGTTCGCGTTATGCTCTTCCATATCTCTTTTGTTCTGTATTGTTATCTTCTTGGATCTATACTTTCCACCTAGTATCTATTGTACTTCCTTAACTGTGAATTCAAGTCTTTTGCTGCTACTACTACTACTACTACAATCTATTCTTTCTCTTGTTTTGCCTCTTTTGTACCCTGTTTAGTGAATGTCCGTGCCGAAGTACAGGCCGAAGTGGCTACCCAAGTGGAGCAGGAAACTGGTAATAGGAACCTCAAGGACCAAGTACTGCAGCCCCAAAGATGTCGGAGCCACGGTTCACTCGTACAGAGGTGCAAAGCTAGCCGACCTTGCCGCTATTTTCTCGCGCTATCCCTCGCAGAAACTGAACTGTGTTACTATAGTAGCCGGATTTAATGATAATTCATCTACGGTTTCAGACTTTGCTTATGATTGGAGATTTTTAAGAAAACTGATAAATCATAAATTTAACCCAAATGTGCTAATTGTCCCAAAAACCATCCTCTCTGCAAATAATCACTTCTTAAACAGAAAACTTGGTGCTCTATATAACTCTTTCTTTCGCCTTATTATTACATTTAATCATTCAGGAATCCGAATTATTTCCCCAATCTTAACGTTAATTTTAATGCTAAAATGTTTTGTAAAGATGGTATTCATTTTTCTTTTTATGGTAAAAAAATATTCACTTTTTTGCTCGCTCAGCTAACTTGTATATATTCACCATAAATTTACCCTCCTCGCTGTCAAAAAATGGCCGATCAAACGCACTGCCATATTTGCAAACGCCACCTCCGAAAAAGATGCATATGGTATGTCATTTGCAAAGCTTACATCCACGTCTCATCTAGCGGGCTACAGAGCAGCAAATTTTATTACGATGGGTTCTCCTGCATACAATGCAGACCCGAGAACTTTGCAAAAGGGCCCAACTCCACCAACAGACCACCAAGGACTGCACGGGCGCACCAACAAGCACAAAACAAGCACCAACAAGCACTTGAAGTTCTAACAAACGACTTATAGAAAAATGTCGTTAATTGGAAACCGCGCTTCAAAATTCTAAGCAAGATTAAGCCCGGTTTCCAAGTTATAGATTTAATGAACCAGCAGCTGTTGTCATTAGTAGAAGAAATAACAAATTGTAACGTCGCAATGAAAGCAGCAATGATTCTCATACATCTGCTGCTCCCCAAAATTAAATCAAAAACAAACGGATCAATTTCTAAAACACTAAGCCGCCGCATAATTTTATGGAAGCAAGGCCTATTAGACGAACTTTTCATTGAAGCAAAAACTCTCCAAATTAGACATCCAAAAAAGAAAAAGTCCGAAGTAAACGAGGAAATTAAGCAATTCGATAAACTAATGAGTACAGGCAAAAAATCTGCTGCCATTTGGCTGCCTTTCAGACAAAAAAACAAAAGGAGTACTTCCCATAAACGAAGTGATTGAAGGAAAACAGTCCTCAGTATCCTGAAAGAAAAACACCCTCAAGCCAAAACAGCGAACACTAACTATATAACTGAAGTAAGCGAAGACACAATGCCATACAACCCCTCTATATTTGAACAAATAAACGCTAAGACAGTTTGAAAATCAACCACGGTACCTCAGGTCTAGATGCGTGCGAATGGAGAAGGACATTAACTCACTTCAACCAGACATCCATTGAACTTTGCTAAAACAATTGCTAAAATATCATTTACAATGGCAACTAAAGTTCTCCCCCATTAAAACCTAACGGCGTACAACTCGTGTCGCCTGATACCTGTGAACAAAAATCCAGGGAACAGCCCATTGGTATAGGCGAAGTTCTGAGAAGAATAATTGGCAAAACAATCACCCAATGTAATAAATCAGACCTTACAAATCTCGGAAAAATTTCCAACTCTGCTTAGACCAGAAGTGTGAAATCGAATATGCTATCCACGGCTTGAGGAACGAGTTTGAGAAACCGGAGCCGGACGCCACACTACTAATTGATGCAGAAATTGCCTTCAACTCGCTCGAAAGAGATCTTGCTCTAAAAAATGTAGAAATCTTTTGTCGGGCGCTACATCATGCGCTGGCCAACTCATATAAACATCCCTCAAGTCTATATGTCAAAAACACGGTTCTGACATCTACCGAAGGCACAACGCAAGGTGATCCCCTCGCAATGGCATTGAAAAGAATTGGGATAATCCCACTGATTGAGCTCCTGCAAAAACCAAATGTCACCCAAAAATGGTACGCAGATGATGGAAGCGCTGCAGGTGATCTTAAGAGTCTCCGCGCAATACTGGACAACCTAGATATGCACGTAAAGGCTTTCAGATACAATGTGAAGCCTTCCAAGTGTCAACTCATAGTAAAAGAAAACCGTCGTGACAGCGCCATAAAAAAATATTCGAAGGCACAAATATTACAATTGTAGAAGTTTTAGAGTCCTTGGATCGGTTATAGGAACACCATTAGCATGCGATAAATACATGGAAAGCAAATTGAAAAGACATCTACCCTAACTGAAAAGCTTTCCAAAATAGCTAAGACATGCGTACTCCTGCTACACAAAAGGAGGTTAAAATATATTAAGCTTTCTAGCCAGAACGACTCCGAAAGCATTTAAGAAAATGGATGAAACTGAGAAAAATGTATGACATCAGCTACTTCCTAGTTTTACTGGTAAAAACCATATAACCGATGAAGATCGCAATCTTTTTGCACTACCACTAAAAATGCAAGGATTAGACCTCCTCAGTAACACGGAATTTTCCAGAAATTATGAGTGGTCACAAGCCATTTGTGATCCCTTAGAAAACAGTGATTCAGAAATAGCTGAAGCGGAACAAACTCTGATAAACAGAAACATCAAAACTGAGAGACAGAACATCACACTCTAAAAAAAAGGCTTAAATTATGGAAAATTGCTCATCCGAATAAAAACAGACTATAAATCTAGCGTCACAGAAAGGAGCATCAAGTTGGCTAAGCGTGCTAACCTCAAAAAGATACCATTTTTCCCTCAACAAATCAGAGTTTAAAGATGGATTACATCTGAGATATGGATGGGAACCACCAAACGATGGGAACCACCATACATGCCCATGTGGACAACCGTTCACACTGACCCATTCTCTTTACTGTCCTAAAGGTGGATACACTCACCTAAGACATAATGAAATTAGCGATACTTTTGCGAGCGACACTCCTGGACGAAGTTTGCCATGATGTTGAAATAGAGCCGAAACATCAATCGTTGGAAGGCGAAAGCTTTCACAACAAAACAACCACTTCTGAAGATGACGCTCGACTTGACATCAGGGCAAATGAACTCTGGGGAAGCCGATTCAGCCGAACCTTTTCGATGTAAAAATTTTAAAGCCCCATGCTAAATCCTGCCGCAAAATGACGCCCACAAATATCATGAGAGTGTCAAAAAATTAAAATACCAACAAAGAAATTTGGATGTGGAACGCAGCAGCTTTGTTCCACTAATTTTTGCGTGTATCGGAGGAGCAGCACCAGGCTCTACAAAAACCATCCAGAAACTAGCAATTAGCGTAATTGTTGTGATAAACTTATTAAATAGTTTCATGTAATCTGATACGCTCATAATGGTACGCTTGTAAGAAGAAGGCCCAGTACGGGATTTTAGAGACAAGCTCATCAAGCAGCGATACTCCCCCTCTATCCGGACATCCCCGCCGGAACCTCCACCCGTCAAAAAAATAGGTTGTATTCGCTTTCAATTCTTTTTTCATATTTGTTTCTTAAATCAATTTCTCTACAATTCATTTTACAATCGATTCTTTCTCTTGTTTTGCTTGTTTTGTACCCTGTTTAGTGATTGTCCGTGCCGAAGTACAGGCCAAAGTGGCTACCCAAATGGAGTAGGAAACTCTAGGAATAGGAACCTCAGGGCCATGTACTGCAGCCCCAAAGATGTCGGAGCCACGGTTCACTCGTACAGAGGTGCAAAGCTAGTCGACCTTTCCGCTACTGTCTCGCGCTACCCCTCGCAGAAACTAAATTGTGTTACTATAGTAGCCGGATTTAATGATAACTCATCTACAGTTTCAGACTTTGCTAAAGATTGGAAATTTTTATTAAAATTGATAATTCATAAGTTTAACCCAAATCTGCTAATTATCCACAAACCCATGCTCTCTGCAAATAATCACTTCACAAACAGAAAACTTGGTGCTCTAAATAATTCTTTGTTTCGCCGTATTAAAACATTTTACCACTCAAGAATTCGAATTGTTTTCCCCAATCTAAACGTTAATTTTAGTGCTGGTATGTTTTGTAAAGATGGTATTTTATGGCAACAAAGTCTTCAGTTTTTTGCTCGCTCAGCTAGTGTATATTCACCATAATTTTACCCTCCTCGCTGCCAAATTATGGCCGATCAAACGCATTGCCATGTTTGCAAACACCACCTCCAAAAAGGAGGCATATGGTGTGTCATTTGCAAAGCTTACATCCATGTCTCATGTAGCGGACTACAGAGCAGCAAATTTTACTATGATGGGTTCTCCTGCATACAATGCAACCCCGAGAATTTTGCAAAAGAGCCCAACTCTACCAACAGACCAACAAGCACAGCGACCATCACAACTCAAAAACCAACAAGCACCCCAGCACCCATCACAGCTCAAAAAATAACATCAACATCAACACCTGAAACAAACGTACTGCCCAACGCAACACAATCCTTTCCATCGCCCCAGCAATCACTGCAGCCCACTTTGACCCCTGGAAACTTATCGACCAAGAACTTGAAATTAAAATAAACGACATATATAAAAATATCGTTAGCTGGAATCCGCGCTTCATAATTCTAAGCAAGAACAAGTCCGGTTTCCAATTCATAGAGTTACTGAACCAGCAGCTGTTGTCATTAGTAGAAGAAACACAAAATTTTAACGTCGCAATGAAAGCAGCAATAATTCTCCCACATCTGCTGCTACCCAAAACTAAATCAAAAACAAACGGATCAATTTCTAAAACACTAAGCCGCCGCATAATTTTATGGAAGCAAGGCCTATTAGACGAACTTTTCATTGAAGCAAAAACTCTCCAAATTAGACATCCAAAAACGAAGAAGTCCGAAGTAAACGAGGAAATTAAGCAATTCGATAAACTAATGAGTACAGGCAAAAAATCTGCTGCCATTTGGCTGCCTTTCAGACAAAAAAACAAAAGGAGTACTTCCCATAAACGAAGTGATTGAAGGAAAACAGTCCTCAGTATCCTGAAAGAAAAACACCCTCAAGCCAAAACAGCGAACACTAACTATATAACTGAAGTAAGCGAAGACACAATGCCATACAACCCCTCTATATTTGAACAAATAAACGCCAAGACAGTTTGAAAATCAACCACGGTACCTCAGGTCTAGATGCGTGCGAATGGAGAAGGACATTAACTCACTTCAACCAGACATCCATTGAACTTTGCTAAAACAATTGCTAAAATATCATTTACAATGGCAACTAAAGTTCTCCCCCATTAAAACCTAACGGCGTACAACTCGTGTCGCCTGATACCTGTGGACAAAAATCCAGGGAACAGCCCATTGGTATAGGCGAAGTTCTGAGAAGAATAATTGGCAAAACAATCACCCAATGTAATAAATCAGACCTTACAAATCTCGGAAAAATTTCCAACTCTGCTTAGACCAGAAGTGTGAAATCGAATATGCTATCCACGGCTTGAGGAACGAGTTTGAGAAACCGGAGCCGGACGCCACACTACTAATTGATGCAGAAATTGCCTTCAACTCGCTCGAAAGAGATCTTGCTCTAAAAAATGTAGAAATCTTTTATCGGGCGCTACATCATGCGCTGGCCAACTCATATAAACATCCCTCAAGTCTATATGTCAAAAACACGGTTCTGACATCTACCGAATGTGACATTCGACCAGAATGGCCAAAATGCAATCTCTGCAGAATTCGGAATTTTAGCAGTAAGCCTTCCGGATTGGTGGTTTTTAAGAACTAAGGGCGTTATTGGAACGTTTAGCCAAACGGTGAGGGCTGGAATATTCTAGTATTTTAAAATTTCAAAAATTCGAATGATGACGTCACATTTCTGAGAAATGCTGAAACGGCCATTTTAACAAGAAACGAGAGAAGAAACACAACAACATTAGTTGCGCTGACGATAGCAACGACAATCGTGATAAGAAAAACAGCAGCAGATTGCAGAAAACGTTCCGAGTTGCAACTATTGTGCTGCTACAATAGTTGCAAGGCCGTTGCGAACAACGGTGAAGGGTAAGAAATCAGCCTTCCGGATTGGGAAGAAATCGAGATCAACGGGCTTCATTCACCGGATTCAAGAATCCGGAAGGGTCTCGGGACGGAAAACTTTTATTGACTCGTGTGAACTTTTAGCATCCTGTCATGTCCTGACTTGAATTTAATTGATATTTGGATTAGTTTTGACAAGGATGAGGTGCTAGGAGTTGGGGGAAAGGGTTGATCCATCTTCGATGGAGATGATGATTTTTATCTACTGAACAAAAACAATAGTCATATAATAAGTAGTAGCCCTGTTTTTAGGAGTGACCTCGTGGTCTGGGGATACTGAGACCCAGCCATGAGCTCACTATTTGCATGTAATTAAGTTAATTTGAGCGTTCTGGTCGAAGCCGGAGAACAGTAACGTTTTTGTCGACCCGATGTTGGAAAGACCACCGAAAAGTACTGGCTTGGTAGAGACGGTGAAAAGCATACAAAGCTCTGTTTAGGCGCTAGCCAGTCGTCTTAAGACTTAGTTTTGTTATTCGTCGATATGTATCTTCCGGGCGAATGTTACATACATGTTTTTATGGCGCTCCTGGGTGTTATTCTTTTTAACATCATGACCGGCAGAACCGTTGACGAGCACTCCGCGCCGAGCGGATGCTCACATTAACGCCCTTAATAGGCCTAAACCGCCGGGGCGGAAGGGTAGTTCGGAACGCGGAAGCCTTCCGGATTACCGTGAATAGTTTTTTAACCTAATTAAGACCGAAAATTCACGAACCAGGAAGGGTGGGGGGAATCGCGAACCCCTCATCCCCTGAGTGGTTTGTGACCAAAAAACACTTAAAGATATAAGTAAAACCAAACAAAAAGTAGTATAGTACCCAAGAAAAACAAAAAACATAAAAAATAACCGAAAAAACCAAAAACAGTAAAAAAGTAAAAAATCAGTAGAAATCATCCCCCCAGACAAGATGTGATCCAACCCCCCCGTTTGTTGTTGATAGATATATTGTTGTTACAGGCATTTATATCAGTCAGGATCGTTACGATCAGTTTTGTAGCCCGTTTGTGAGGCTTGTACTGTAGGGTTATTTGAGCATTTAAGCACGTTAATGATAAATTGCGCTCAATCCGGAAGGGTCAGCTGATTTGCGCTCAATTCGGAAGGGTCTTGGGTGAAGACCGATCCGGCAAGCAGTACAAGGAGCAACAAGAAGGGGCTCAACGACAACAACAATCGACTGTTGGGTATCGTTAACAAATTTTGTATCCCTTTTGGTACAAAAAGTAAGATAGTAATCTGTGGGGGGCTCGACAGTGCTGCACTGTAGTGACCCTTCACCGAACTGCGAATATCCGAGTTAAGCACCTTAATTCGGATATTGAGGAAACCCGGAGGGGTATAGTATTACTAATATCATTATTTATTTAGCCTATATTAATAGTCTTATATCGTTTTTCAGTGAAAAACAACGAAAACAGACCGGTTTTTAGGGTCAAAATAGCGATATTTTGACCCCCCACAAGTCGCGATTTTTGAGATTTCGATATTTTTTGAAACGGAAAAAAGCGCTAAGTTAGTGTGTTACATCGTAACTGCACTACCATAATAGATAGAACCGGTTAAGTTTAGTTCGGAAGTGGTTGGAACAATTTTGGAACCAAAAACCGAATTTTCGTGATTTTTGAGAAAACGGAACACTATAAATTTAGAAAATTGTTTGAAATTTTTGAGTTACGACAGTAAAAATAGTTGTTCGGACAACGTCCACTAGTGAATCTACAAGTTTTAAAACCCGCTACCCGAAAGCCTTCCGGGTTGCAGAGAAATCGAACATAACGTGTTTGATTTGGTGGATTCATCAATCCGGAGGGGTCCAGGTAGCATAGTTTTTCGCAAATTTTTTCTACAAAAGCGTTTTAGATCGGGTCTTTTGCATTGAACGAGAAGAGTACAGACCTTTTGAGCTCGGATCAATAATTTTTAGGTCGAAAGGACCAGAATTGCGGAAAAAGTTAGGTGGAGCCTATAAGCGAGAAATTTTTTGAGTTTGCAAGAAAGACGTTTTAGTTAATAACTTTGGAACTACTGAGCATATTGAGTTGATCTTGGTACCAATAGATCAAAAATTAGCTGAGCTTACTGATAGGGTCAGAAATTTTTTGGAAAAGTAAGCGTGAAAATTTTTTGAGATTGTTTTTTCCGGAAATCCGGAGGGGTACACCCTTCACGTTTTATAAATTTTTCTGAAAAACCCTTAGACCCCTACCAAAAGGTAATAGCGGTTGAATAAAGTAACTTTAGGCCAGTCTAGACCAAAAGGGAGGGCTAA